CGTACTCTGAATCCATCACTAGAAAGAACAGGGAATCGGCGGAATCATTTAAATTCTGAACATACGTTAGGAAACTGTAATTTCCCCACCGCAATCGTCACCATAAAAGTGTATCTAGTTTAGCAACAAAGATATTACACCGCAAGCAGAAGTACAACGAAGTTCCGCGGTTTACTAGCATCAGCGATCACCTATGGTGATCAAAAGTTTTTGCACGGTTATTTCGATAACAGATATTGCAAACCAATGTGCGCACTAACTCGTCACATCACTCACTTTGAATGGACTGTGCATTTCGGGTCTCTGCGCAAGCAGCATTTGCTGCGGTAGTGTCTAAAATGAGAGCATTAACAATCGACCGAGTTTGATTAGTGGATCTCTTCAATTAGGAGATCCAAGTTATCAACTACTAACTAGTTGCTAACATTCCAGAAACACAAATTTCCTTCACGAATTGCAGCGCTTTATAAACGCTTACCTCTTTGCTCCTTATCCACCATTTCGTGTTCAGTTAGCGTGACGGATTCTGAAAATTTTACACCAAGAATAAAGAAAACACATGTCTAAATTTCTGCTTGTTACTGAACTTTCTCAATTCCTCAACTGTAACACCTTTGTGCTCGCCAAACTCAGTGCAATTAGAACAGCCCTAGTTACACGATTGGGTTGGTAGTTCAACAGGCCATTTTCACCCACGGAAGAATACTCGTGGAATGCAGTCAAGCCACGGTTTCCATCTGGGGCATTAAACAGCTTTTCGGAAACGTGAAGATTGCAAAATTATGGCCACAATTTATCTTAAAAATGGTCTTATTAACAGTAAAATGTGTTTATTGACCTGTGTTTTTGATCCGTGCTTAAATGTTCTTAAGTTTAACCACAAAAACCATTTTAAAATAACTGGCTATTTTATTAAGCAAGCCGAAAAGTGTGTTTTCAATTAACTGTTAACCATAAACACAAACATGAAAATGAGTTGGATTAAAAATCTTGAAAAGTGGCAACAAAATGCATACTGAATTTGACTTAAGCAAACAAATTCAGATGAAACTATACAGATTGTAACCTAAGATTTGTAAAATTTGTCAAGGCCCATGTCACTCACCTTGGTTTGGTGTTTTGTTTTCCTTTCTCCCTAAAGTACAATCACGTGCACATTCGCTAACACAAATGAACTTAACCAAAATCGCAACGATGCTTGTCCAATTTAGTGATTTTGGTGAATCCGCGGATCTATGATTGTCAAAGTGCATAGCTGCCAGATTATTTGGTTAATAATGAAGATATTAACGTAATTAGATCCCAGAATGTTAATTTTTCTAGCATTTGTCACTGTTTTGTGGCAACAGTGTCATTAGCAGCTAAAACACTCAGCAAATTTGCGATGGGTAAGAAATCCGAGAATCCTGAGTAGACGCTCAGCTTACTGCCACTCAAGTTACAGTTTTAAAATTCAGTTCACCAAAGCGCATTTTTAAAATGAAAACAAAAAAACTCACATCGTATTCGAAACCAAGAACGGAAATCGGATTTTTTACTCGTCGATACTCCACCTGCACAAAAAGGCAGTTAAGGCGTGCATTACATTTTATGAAAAAAAGCATCATGTCCCTACTTCTGTTGGCTACCTTGACAAAGCAAGCTTTAAATGGCAATATTTTTGTCAACATTCCTTGGTTTAAGTCAAAATCATGATATCGGCGTCTTCGTTTTGCCAACTGCGAAAATTCGACCGATCAAATGAAACTTTTGTGCAAAGGCGTTCCTCGGTTTAATGGTTTAATGTCATTTTTTGTAAGTGAAACCCATCTAACCGTATCCTGCGATCACGTTGATCAGAGTGATTATACTGTTCTGTTTGCAGTTGGACTGATTTACCGTCGGATAATCGTGTTCTAGCAATTCTGTCTCGTTGGAACAACTACTTGCACACGGCGACAGGCAGCGAGTGCTGGTTAAAATCGATCTTATATTCCACTTCACATATCTGGGTGAACGCCAACGTAAACTCCATCCTCTAATAAGACAGCTTGCTAGCACAAACGCATGCAGCAACGTAAATGAGTAATGTTACCAGAGGCGTGAAAGTAGTTTAATTAGAAGTGCACTAGCTATGTATGTTAAGCTTGCCCACTTCTCCTGTTCCTTTTTTTAAAGGAGTAAAGCTCACCGTTCAAAGGATTAAAGTACATCAGCGTGTTGACTTACAGCAATACATGAACCGCATCTTCGAGACGGTTTCTAAAGTCAAGTTTACTTTGATGCTATGAATAACGAGAAAATAAAAACGTTTCTGTCTGACCTAAGTTGGTAGTAAAATGCACGTTTGGCAAAGGAAATGAGTAAAAGAACAAATAGGGACGTTCTGTCGAAACACCAATTATTGGTGATTGCGTGAATTGCTTCCCATTCTGTAACACACATCTATTTGTGTTAAAATTTATGAAAAATTGATGCCCCCATGTAGATGTTACGATGCACTTTCCACCCAAAATGCTTGCCGCAAACTACGACTTACCACTGAAATATATTTTAATGTTTTTCAGACAACTGTTTACTTTGATTTCATTACGTGGGCTTTGACATCAGCGGAAGATGCGCTGCATGAATTCTAAATTCTGTTTAAGCCTATTTGGTAAATGCATCATGTCGTGGAGTTCAAGTTGTAATCATTTTCTATAAGTCAGCAAAAATGCATCTGTTTGGCCCCAAATAAATAGTAGGAGAATATAGCTACCAGCAAGCGAATAAACAAGAATAAGAGCTTACCATTGGTGTCGTTGAGTTTAATTGATGATTCTAACATGAAGGCAAAAAAAGACAGGTGTGCATGCCGAAATTAATATCAAAAAAAGCGATTAGACTAGAGGTATAATATTTATGAAAAGGAACAAGGAGCATAATTTACGCTTTGTTTGTCGGAAAGGCATCATGTGAGCTTCCAGTGAGAAAATCTTGTAACTTCATGATTCCAAACCGCAGTAAGTCTTATTCAGATGCAGCAACCAACCAGGACTCGGCAACCGGTTTGTGTGCGCTCGAACATGAGACGAATAAATCTGCCACATCGCTAACAGGTCTCACACACCACACACGCACACACACTGCATCAAGAACCGTTGTAGGCTATTTTTAACTGCCTCAAACACTCAACGCTTGTGCATTTTGCATAATTCTCTCGTTTGACGTCATTCAATGCTGGATATTTTAGGTAACGAAATGCCAATAAAATTTCCTTAAAATTTGGTATTTGCATCATCGACTAAAGTGTAACCTTGTACTTAGCATGTGGACTCAATCCATACGTTTAAGCTAAGAACATACCCACGAAGATGAAAGGACAATTAGAGCTGGCAGTGGCACAGTAGTTCAGTAGATAGCTCAACCACGTCATGCCAGTCTCGCCACTGCGATAGTGGAGCCCTGAAAAGGCAGTCAGTGTGGCGGAGGTTCGACGACTGGGTTAGTGGACGTGAATCATCACGATTTACTGCAAATCCCTATATTTTCACTCTCACAAGTTCGGTTTTGGGCGCTTTATTTCAAGGGGAGACACCGACCTCGGTTTGGAACGTGTCTGTTTGAGTATCGTGGATAATTTCGCAACCACCGAACGGCATCTGCACCATATAATTTGTATTTTGTTAATATTTGCCTAGTCGTGTTTCAAATATCCCCAAGGCCTGACATTTCCCAGTCGCTCGTTTAGTTTGCTGAGAACTGGGTTTATCGAGTGTTAACTAAATTTCGTTTTGCGGAAAAAATTTTGGCTTCATTTTGTGTTCCAGCTTCAGCATATCTTCCAAAGTTTTATGGTGTGAGTTTAAGCTCAAGTGATACACAATGAAGGAGAGGCTTCACCATTTCTCGTTCAACATGGTCTCTTGGAAGAAGGCAAATCGTGCCACCAGTGAGAAAAACTGCTGAGATCACGATAGCCTACAGGGGCGCGGACGTTTAACCTGCTCTCTTGAGATTTTTCCTGAGTTACATTCCCTCTAGTCGGCTACCGCTTACACCAGCCTAAACTTAGAGACCATATTCCCTTACTAATAATTTTGTCTTCATGATAAAAAGTGACTTTTTTGTAGAATCTGCTTGACTCGTTCCCAGTAATTGGCCAGAACACGTGTGGAAGTTCATTAATACTAGCAATCTTGGTAGATTTGGTGATACTCAGGCGAGTCTACCTCATCAACACACCATTACAGACATTCTGTATTGCTGGATGTTTTGTAATTTTTATACAGTTATGACCAGAAGGCCAATTTCTGCACTTAAATAAAACTGAAAAATGTAGACGTAGATGAAATGGACCAATCAAAATTGATATCACGGCATCACATGAAAATTGTGAACGTTAGGTAAGTGAACAACAAATCTGCCTGAAGACGGTCCTAAACTGTTGGAAAACCAGCCTTTGGCAGGGCTATCTTTCGCCTGATTTAAATTTCATCAATTCAAGTAAGCACAATGCCCCTACATATTCCACTTTATTTGACCCACAACTTCATTTTTATCCCTCTGTTCAAGGTCACCCACGGCCTTGCACTCGTAGCCCACTCTGACACATCACTTGGCCATCGGCTGCTGCAAACCTCGGAGTCCGTGTCGGTTTCCTGGTCACGGCGACACAAATTATCGAGGTAATATTTCGGGTACCCACCATCAACTTCCCCGTTGCACATTTCAGGCAATCAGACAGCTTTGAGGGTCGATACACAAACAGCCCAATTACCGACTGTTTACCACTTGTAGCTGGAACGCTGTGCTAACCTACCACGAAGTTGACTTCCACATGTAAGAATCTGTTATCATTTAAACACTTTACTCAAAACAAAAGGCGTAAAATACCTGTTTTACTGCACTTATGTTCGATGAGGAATCAAAAAATTTAAATCATTGTGCAAAATCTCCTTGGTATCAGATATCAAGGTTGTAATAAACTCAGTCGAAAGTATAACACATTGGGAAATTCAAAAACGATCCTTTATCGTTGCTTATGCAGGTCTTTGGGGCACTGGAGGAGGCGTGCCTTTACCCACATGTGTGCGGCCGGACAGACGATCACAGATGACACTGAAGGTAGGTCGATCCGACAGCTCCTCCTTCCAACAATCCATCATCATTGAGTATATATCATCCGGAGTATCAAGAGGTCGCTCAAGACGGTGCCCTGCCTTCAGGTACTCCAGCACTTGCGAATTTCCAAGTTCCTTGTACGGCGCGTAACCCACACTGTAGATCTCCCACAACACGACACCATACGACCACACGTCGGAGGAGAGTGTGTACTTGCTGCCATCCTCAATCACTTCCATGGCAGCCCACTTGATTGCAATGTCACCAGACGTGAAGTGCGAGCCCTGTGGACGACTGCGTCCAAATCCACCAATCTGAGCAATGCAAAATAACGATGGCTGTTTAACTTGCTTCCCCCGAACACCAAAAGTGACATATCTAACAGTTCGCAATTATACCTTCTAATTTAGTTGACGATATTTAGACTGTGACTATGTGTTTGAAAGGCGTCATTTTATTCTATCAAAATAAATTTAAATCCAATAGCTTGCAGGTCGTAATCTTTGAAGGAATTTTTATTTAATTTATAAGAAAAATGTCGTGAAACACACACCCAAACACCCACCTTCAGTCTCTTATTCGCGTCAAGGAGGATGTTGCGAGCAGCCAGATTTCTGTGCTGAATTTTCCACTTCTCGAGAGCGCGCATTCCAGTCGCAATATCCTTGACGAATCCGCGAAATTCCCTTTGTTGAACGAGGTCACTGCTGTTGTACAGGCCTTCCAAGTAGTTGGCGAG